AAAAAAAAAAAAAAAAAAAAAAAAAAAAAAAAACAGAAGTAGCAAAACGATCTTACCTTTTCACTGTAATTGGGTTTCCGTGATGTGCCTCTTTTTCCTGTTGGTATTGGAGGAGCAGTGTCTCCTGTAATTATGCCATCAGGTCCCTCAGGAGGCTCCCCATCCTGAAGCAGGGATAGACTCCATAGTGTGGAGTGGCACAAAGTGATGTCTGCTGTTGGATTCTTTCAGAACACGTATGACCGCTGCCCCATGGAGCTGGTCCGCTGCATCCGCCATATATTGTACAATGAACAGAGGTTGGTCCGAGAAGCCAACAATGTGAGTGTCCCGTGGGGATGGGGAGGGCATTTGGGAAGTCTTTTCTTACCCACCTCCCTCTGGACCCACCTTTGTCAAGGTGACTCAGGGTGCACTATTGGTGTCTCTTTAAAGAGAATATTGTCCTAAGGGGCACAAAAGAAATAGGAGACATGACTGAGTGTGGCGTAGCACTTTGTGAGGCTGAGGCAGGCAGATTGCTTGAGCCCAGGAGTTGGAGACCACCCTGGGCAACATGGTGAAGCCCCATCTCTACCAATAATAAAAAAAATTAGCTGGGCATGGTGGCACATGCCTGTAGTCCCAGCTGTTTGGGAAGCTGAGGAGGGAAGATCACTTGAGCCCAGGAGGTAGAGGCTGCAGTGAGCCGTGATTGCACCACTGCCCTCCAGCCTGGGTGATGGAGTGAGACCCTGTCTCAAAAAAAAAAAAGAAGAAATTGAAGATGTGTCTGTGATCTTCACTGATTTATAACCTTGATGAGCTTGCAACCACAAAACAATATGAACAAGTGCAAAGTACTTTGACCTCAGCTGAATAATTTTTTAGTAAAGGCATACTCATATTCAGGTGAGAATGCTTAGCCCCTGAATCAGGTGTGGAATGAGTGGTCTGACCAGGTCATTTACAGGGCTAGATCCACAAAGACCTTGTTTATGCCTCCCCCATCACTTCATTTGTGGGCCTCCAAGATGCCTGTGAGAGGTCTGGCCTCTTCCGTGGTGGAGGCAGTGATTCCATCACAAGGCTGTCTTGAATGGGGACACAGCTGATGTGTGTTCACATGGCCCGCTCCCCACAGCCTCTCTAATGCTTAATGCCATCCTTGCATTGGGTCGTGAGTGGAAGGGGAATCACTTCACCTCCTCATTAGTAGGAAAACCCAGGTGACCCTGAAACAGGTTACATTCTAGCCTCTCCGAAGGTAATTTGATAGATCCTGTTTGGGATACTCTGGTGGAGGCCAGATCTGCAATGGAAGCTTCTCCCATGCTTTGTGATTTGAGGTGTGATCTGTCCACTCACCTGTTTCTCACTTTTCCTACCCTACCCTATGTCTTACACGTGACATTTGCTATTCCTCCAACTAAAAATTTACCTTTCGGGCTCTTATCCCGGTTGTAGGAGCTGGCATAAACTTTTCCTGGGGATTAAGGCCTCAGCTTCCTCCCATTCCCACTGCCCTGCACTGCCCCCATCTGTTCCCAGGGTAGTTCTCCGGCTGGAAACCTTGCTGACACCATGTCCCAGAAACACCTGCAGATCAACCAGACATTTGAGGAGCTACGACTCGTCACACAGGACACAGAGAATGAGCTGAAGAAGCTTCAACAGACTCAGGAGTACTTCATCATCCAGTACCAGGAGAGCCTGAGGATCCAAGGTGAGACGCGGTGTGGGGAGCCATGTGTGGGCTGAGGAGGGTGGGTGGGGGACTAGAAAGCAGCTCTGGTGAGGTTGGGAGAAAGCCCGTTTCCATTCAGAGGCAGTGACCTTTCTCTGAATAGCAGGGACTTATTTGCATTGAAGACAGTGCTGAGAGGATGAGAGAAAGGGGAGATGACAGGGCACCTGCCCTTGAGTGCGGGTCTCACTCGGGTCCCCAGATCCAGGGAGCTCTGCGCTGCCAGGGAAAACATTTCCTCTTTTTAGAAGGAGCTCACCGTCTAAATACTCGCAGACATAATACTTTTGTATATAGTAGGCATATTAGAAGTTGAGCTTTTTTGGTGCTAGGCACACAGAAATTTAAGAAAGAAAAAAGTTGAGCTTTACTGAAATGATAAATAGAAATTAGATAATTATATGTTTTTAAAAATTTCTGGTTTGGCTCGGTGGCTCACACCTATAATCCCAGCACTTTGGGAGGCTGAGGCCAGCAGATCACCTGAGGTCAGACGTTCGAGACCAGCCTGGCCAACATGGTAAAACCTCGTCTCTACTAAAAATACAAAATTAGTTGGGCATGGTGGCACACACCTGTAATCCCAGCCACTTGGGAAGTTGAGGCAGGGGAATCACTTGAACCCGGAAGGCAAAGGTTGCAGTGAGCCAAGACCTCACCATTGCACTCCAGCTTGGGTAAAAAGAGCAAAACTCTGTCTCAAAAAAAAAAAAAATTATAAGCTGGGAGTGCTTTTGCACACCTATTATCCTGGTGCTTTGGGAGGCCAAGGCAGGAGGATCACTTGAGGCCGGTAGTTTCTGACTAGCTTGGGCAATATAGCAAGAGCCTACTGTCTCTAAGAGGGAAAAACCTTTCTAAGCAGGGACAGTGTTAAGTACTAAGGATCCGTATTTGTGGTAACTGACTTCTAATGTTCTGTGCAGTTATTCACAGAGGTCTTCCTGGAACAGAGTACACTTACGCACCTTAGGTAACCCCTATAGACAAAGCTCCCCTAGCCTGGTATGAATCCTGCTTAGTACTTGGGGCACAGAGAGCTTCAGTCTATTGTGAGGCTGTGGAGCCCTACCAGCGCCCCCTCTTGACCCTGTAGCAATTTGGCGGTTTGAGCTTTAATAGTTTCCTCTCCATGCCCAGTTCAGAGTCTCAGGGAAGCCTTATCTCAGCCACCCAGCCCCTGCAAACACACACACACAGCACATGCTCCTCTCAGTCCAGGTATGTAGCCTCCATCTTATGTCTGTAGGGATATTACTTATTTACTCTTTGTCTCCTCCACTGGAATATAAATCTTGGAGAAGGGACTGTATCTTTTATCTCTGTACGCTGAGGCCAGCACAGTGCTGGAAACTTAACAGTTACTGAGTCAGGTTTGACTGGATGATTCTAGTATGTCTTCCTGTTATCTGAACCTATCCCAGACTGGCCCTAGAAGAAGGGCAGCTCCTTCTGAGAATGGAAACGGGAGATTGCGGGCTGTTCTTCCTACGCAAGTCCTTAGACTGTTAACAGTGGTTCTGATCCCGCACCTGGTTTTCTGTTTCCTGGGCACGGTGATGGATTAGATTTGGATCCATCATGCAATGTCTCCTCAGTCCCGTTTGTCAAGTTCACTCAGCAGAAGCACAGACTGTTGATCTGTTTGTGCCAGGGAAGGCTCAGCTGCCTCCAGTGGAGTAAGGAAATAGCTTCCCATCTCCCTGGCCTCCTTCCTGAAAGCCTCTGCAAATTTCCAGGAGAGACCTAAGTGGGTCCCTTGCATAGGAAGGCTGGGCCCAGATGTTGGGATTACCACCACCCTCCCTGTGGCTGGGCAGGATTCCCGAGGTAGCCGTGCAGATGCCATGGATCCGTCCGTGCCTCCGTCCGTGCCTGGATGGTCCTCTTCCTGCTGGATACCTGCAGTGAGACTGGAGCCATATTTTGGAGTTCTAGCTCTGGGCTGCTCCTGGCTGCCTAGAGTTGCTTTTGTCTGTCCCAGCTTGTGCATCCCATGGGGCAGGGCTGGGGTCAGGGTGATGTGGCCCTCAGGGGCCAGCCAGGAGCTCCACCAAGACATGCTGGTGTGCACATCTTCTGACTCAGCTCAAGCAAGGACACTGGGCTGTTGAGAAGGTGACAGGAAGGGATTAATAGTCCCAGCATGGGGGACAGGGGCTGTCTTTGGGAGGCTGGGGCGGGCCTGCCTGTGGTGGCTGTAACTGTAGCTGTGGACATGTTTAGTTCCTTAGGCTGCGTTATTCATACACAGGTGTTCCTGTGTTCCACATTCCCTGTGCCTTATGTATTTCATAATGGATATTTTTGAAAAGGTAGTGAGGCCTGACTTACTCCCTGACCCGCCATCGATGAGACTGCTCACAGCTGGTGTGGAGAGAAGCCACCTCCCTTCGGCCTCCCTTTCCTGAGAGAATCTGGGTGGCTCTGCATCCCCAATGGGCCCTGGACATGCTCTCCCTCTGCTGTCTGTCTGTCTCCCCTGGTTGGTCGTCTGGGCTCACAGTCACCTAGACAAACATGCTGGGCCCCTTCCAGCCCCTCCAGAAGTTCATCCTCACCTGAGGAGGAACTGCTGTGCTCAGGGACGAGACAGAGCCAGGGCTGGGGTTCCCTTAGGAGGTCTTGCTATAGAGGAACAGGGCCGAGCACCTGCTTGTCTCTGTCACTTCTCTCTGTCCCATTCCCCGTTAGCCAAGAAAGATGAATCTCACACAGAGCCCACCCATGCCAGGCAGTTTTTTGGCGTCTTCCATGTTCTCATGTATTTAATCTTCAAGCATCCCACTGAGGCAGGTGCGGAGATTCTCCTGTTTTACCTGTGGGGAAGCTGAGGCACAGGAAAGGAAAGCAGTTTGCCCAGGTTCATCCACAGCCAAGGTCACGGGCACACTTCCACCCTAAGCAGCCTGGCCCCGCCAGGCCGTGAGAAGAGGGCTGGCAGCCCTGTGGGGCAGGCGGGCAGGAGACAGGCAGGCCTACTCCCCAGCTGTCCCAGCACCCCATGTGCCCCCAGAGGGGACGCTCAGAGTCAGGAGGCTGGTGAGTAGGGCCCAGAGGTGCCTCCTGAGGCACACATTCGTCTTGGTGCCCCTGGCTGTTAGGAACCCTGACTTGCCCTTGATGCAGCGTCTGAGCCCGGGAGGGTCTCGCTCCAGAACGAGCAAGTGGGCTCCTCTGGGCCTCCTGTTGGATGCTGGGAGGTGACGGTCATGGTGCCCTGTCCCCTCCTTTAGCTCAGTTTGCCACGCTGGGCCAGCTGAGCCCCCAGGAGCGTCTGAGCCGGGAGACGGCGCTCCAGCAGAAGCAGGTGTCCCTGGAGGCCTGGCTGCAGCGCGAGGCGCAGACGCTACAGCAGTACCGCCTGGTGAGTGGGGTCCTGGGCCTCTCCTGGGCATGGGTGCCACAAAGCCAGTCTCTGGGGACCCGAGGGAGGGCTGGGACCGGGATGAGAGCAGAACCTGGGAGGGCAGGAGGCCTTTTTACCTGGGGGCCGTGCGAGGCAGAGCAGCTTGGGGAGGGGGAAGGGCCTGGGTCCTGCCCTGCCATTTCCCAGCGAGGCCCTGCGGGGTTCTCTGGGGGCCCAGAAGGGGCTGTTCTCCTCCCTCCCTCAGGAGCTGGCCGAGAAGCACCAGAAGACCCTGCAGCTGCTGCGGAAGCAACAGACCATCATCCTGGATGACGAGCTGATCCAGTGGAAGCGGCGGCAGCAGCTGGCCGGGAACGGCGGGCCCCCCGAGGGCAGCCTGGACGTGCTCCAGTCCTGGTAACGGTGTAGGGCGGCCAACGGGCAGGGCAGGAGGGGCTGCGGGGACCCCGACTGCTTCTGCCTCCTGCGCTGGCTCCTGCAGCAGACCTCCTCCGTCCAGCTCTTGTTTCTGTAGGGGACATGGGTCCTGATTCAGACTTTGGTCCACTGTCCTGTGCCACCTCCCCCAGGAAGGGGGCTGCTGTCCTGGGGGTAGGACAGGGCTCGGGTGTGCAGAGTGACGTTCAGACCGGTTGGGCCTAGTCAGGGTCCCCTCCTGTGAACGTCTCTAATTCTTTGAGGCAGGGAGCTCTGCTCTTGCTGTGGGTGGGAAGTGTGGGGAAAGCACAGAGCCTTCCTGGGGGAGACCTTCCTGTGGGAGGAGGAGCCGTGTCTTGGGGCTGGGCTCTGGCCTGGAGTCTGTGCAGAGAAGCCACTGTCCTGTTGGCCTTGGGGCTCCGTGCAGGTGTGAGAAGTTGGCCGAGATCATCTGGCAGAACCGGCAGCAGATCCGCAGGGCTGAGCACCTCTGCCAGCAGCTGCCCATCCCCGGCCCAGTGGAGGAGATGCTGGCCGAGGTCAACGCCACCATCACGGACATCATCTCAGCCCTGGTGACCAGGTGACAGCTGCCTGTTGGCCATGCCTGGGGTTTGTGGCAGCTCCCATGGGGTGGGCATGTGGGGGGCCGCAGGTGCTTTCCAGACCAGCAGCTGCACCTTCATCCTTGTCTCTCTTTGCCTCTCATCCCTCCCCACTCCATCTCCAGTTCCTGTGGCTGCTGGGCGCCGCTCTTGCCCAGTTTCTCTTGTAGACACTGCAAGGGATGCCCTTGGGTGGCAGCCCATGGCAGCTGCTCCATTCATCTCACTCCCCCTCTCCAGCCTCTCCCTGGACTCTCACGGCTTCCTTGGGAACAGAGGCTGTGCCGTGCTCTTCCTCACCTGCTGAGCCCCTCGGGAGGCGGCCCCATTCCCACCACAGAGGGACCGAGACCCCTTTCCCCTGAGCCAGCCCCTCATCGTGCGTCTGTCCCTGTGTCCCCTGCAGCACATTCATCATTGAGAAGCAGCCCCCTCAGGTCCTGAAGACCCAGACCAAGTTTGCAGCCACCGTGCGCCTGCTGGTGGGCGGGAAACTGAACGTGCACATGAACCCCCCCCAGGTGAAGGCGACCATCATCAGTGAGCAGCAGGCCAAGTCTCTGCTCAAGAACGAAAACACCCGCAAGTAATTGTGCAGCTTCTTCTCCTTCCCTGCTGCTTGTCTCACGTCCTGGCAATAGGAGAAAAGAATTCTGCCTCCTGTTTCAGATCCCTGTTTGCCCCTCTGGCCTCTTCTGGCTGTCAGAGAAGAAATATAAGGAAGTTATTGGGCTGGGCATGGTGACCCATACCTGTAATCCCAGCACTTTGGGACGCCAAGGCGGGCAGATCACCTGAGGTCGGGAGTTTAAGACCAGCCTGGCCAACCTGGCGAAACCCCGTCTCTACTAAAAATACAAAAAATTAGCTGGGCATGGTGGTGGGCACCGTAATTCCAGCTACTCTGGAGCTTGAGGCAGGAGAATCACTTAAACCCAGGTAGTAACAGTTGCAGTGAGCCAACGTTGTGCCACTACACTCCAGCCTGTGCAAGAGCAAAACTCCATCTCAAAAAAAAAAAAACAAAACAGGTTCTTTGGTGAACTGTTTTCTGTGAATATAGTTTGATTTTGTTTCATTTTGTAGTGGTATGTCTGAGAAAATTACATGTATGTGTTATATAGCTAACATTTCCTTTAAATGATGTACATTTTTAGCAAACTTCTCTATTTCCTGCTACCCCAAATTATATTATGTTCCCTGCATGTCCTGAGTCCCTGGCCTGGGTTTGGAGCTGACCTCTCTCTGATTTGCAGTGATTACAGCGGCGAGATCTTGAACAACTGCTGCGTGATGGAGTACCACCAAGCCACGGGCACCCTTAGTGCCCACTTCCGGAACATGGTAAGGGTGGAAGAAGAGGAAGAATGAATGTTTTCCAGTTCTTAGAGAACAACTTTCATCTTATGTCTCATATTCCTCCTTTGCAGTCCCTGAAACGAATTAAGAGGTCAGACCGTCGTGGCGCAGAGTCGGTGACAGAAGAAAAGTTTACAATCCTGTTCGAATCCCAGTTCAGCGTTGGTGGAAATGAGCTGGTTTTTCAAGTCAAGGTAAAGCCTTCTCTCAGCTCTGTGTGTGTGTGTGGCGGTGAGGGGGGTTGTGCTTCATTTTATAAAAGAATTTTTTTTTTTTAATCACATAGCATCTTCTTCTTTTTGACTATTGGTAAACTGAAAATGGACTGACCTCACACTGAGAACTGTATCTCTTAGATTCTCTTAAGACATGAACAAAGGCCAGGCACAGTGGCTCACGTCTACAATCCCAGCACTTTGGGAGGCTGAGGCAGACAGATCACTTGAGGTCAGGAGTTCAAGACCAGCCTGGCTAACACAGTGAAACCCTGTCTCTACTAAAAAATTAGCCAGGCATGGTGGTGTGCACCTATAATCTCATCTACTCAGGATGCTGAGGCGGGAGAATCACTTGAACCCAGGAGGCTGAGGTTGCGGTGAACTGAGATTGCGCCACTGCACTCCAGCCTGGGCAAAAGAGTGAGACCCTGTCTCAAAACAAAACAAAACAAAACATGAACAAACAAGGCCCAGTGCAGTACTCACACCTGTAATCTCAACACTTTGGGAGGCTGAGGCAGGAAGATTGCTTGAATTCAGGAGTTCAAGACCAGCCTGGGCAACATACTGAGACCTTGTCTCGACCAAAAAGTTAAACTTAAACTTAAACATGAACAAACAGTAATGAACTGAACTAGTTGGATAGACAGACCGCAAACTGGATTATGAGAAACATTACTCGGGATGAATTTGAGTAGAGGTTGTGGTAAGTTTTACACATTTGTTATTTGTAATTTTTTTCCCAGAAATGTCTCCAGTAGTCTCTTTGGTCTCTCCTGTTCTCCATGTAACTTTGAGACACTTTATCCTTCAGAAATATGTAAGGCAACATTGCTTGTAAAATATTTAGAATTTCTAAGATTGTGCCAGGGTGAAAAGTCATGTTATTCCCAGGGCCATTTAGATTCTGTGTCTGACAGGAGCATTAACTGAAACTTGGAAAAGAAAAGTCTTGTGATAGTAAGAGAAGGAGAAGAGCTTGAAGCTGGTGGGCGCTCCGACTTCTCTTGTGTGTTTTTAGACCCTGTCCCTGCCAGTGGTGGTGATTGTTCATGGCAGCCAGGACAACAATGCGACAGCCACTGTTCTCTGGGACAATGCTTTTGCAGAGCCGGTGAGTGGATTCCTCGGGCAGGTGGGTCTCCAAATCGATGCCAGTGTCATGAACCTCATTTATGTATTATCCCTTTAAAAAGCATAAGAGCCGGGCACAGTGGTTCACGCCTGTCACCCCAGTACTTTGGGAGGCCGAGGTGGGTGGATCACAAGGTTGAGGTGGTCAGATCACAAGGTCAAGAGATCGAGACCATCCTAACCAACATGGTGAAATCCCGTCTCTATTAAAAATAAAAAAATTAGCTGGGCATGGTGGTGCATGCCTGTAGTCCCAGCTACTCGGGAGGCTGAGGCAGAAGAATCACTTGAACCCGGGAGGCAGAGGTTGCAGTGAGCCGAGATCACGTCACTGCACTGCAGCCTGGGCAACAGAGCAAGACTGTCTAAAAAAAAAAGCATTGGAAAAGGCTGGGTGCAGTGGCTCATGCCTATAATCCCAGCACTTTGGGAGGCTGAGGCAGGTGGATCACCTGAAGTCAGGCATTCGAGACCACCCTGGCAAAACGCTGTCTCTACTACAACATACAAAAAAATCAGCTGGGCGTGGTGGCATGCACCTGTAGTCCCCGCTACTTGGGTGGCTGAGACACAAGAATCACTTGAGGCCGGGCATGGTGGCTCACGCCTGTAATCCAAGCACTTTGGAGGCCAAGGCAGGCGGATCACCTGAGGTCGGGAGTTTAAGACCGGCCTGACCAACATGGTGAAACCCCGTCTTTAAAAAAAGAAAAAAAAAGAATTACTTGAACCCAAGCGGCAGAGGTTGCAGTGAGCCAAGATCACACCACTGCACTCCAGCCTGGGCAACAGAGCGAGACTCCATCTCAAAAAAAAAAAAAAGCGGCTGGGCACAGTGGCTCACGAGGCCAAGGCAGGTGGATTACCGGAGGTCAGGAGTTTGAGACCAGCCTGGCCAACATGGTGAAACCCTGTCTCTGCTAAAAATAAAAATAAGCCGGGTGTGGTGTTGGGTGCCTGTATTCCCAGCTACTTGGGAGGCTGAGGCAGGAGAATCACTTGAACCCAGGAGGCGGAGGTTGCAGTGAGCCAAGATCGCATCACTGCACTTCAGCCAGGGCGACAGAGTGAGACTTCCTCTCAAGAACAACAACAAAAAAAAAAAGCATAGGAAAAAAGATGCTCTCTTCTTTAGTGGGAGGCAGAATAGAAAGAATGTGGAAAGTGGAAAGAACATGGGCTTGACTTTGGCCAAGGTCTGAACTGAGACTCCGTTTCCTCACTCCATAGTTCACTTTCCCCCTCTGAGCCTGAGTTTCCAGTAAGTGTCTGCAGCACGGGGATACTCTTGATCTACTCTTGCAGACAGTTACTTGTTAGGAAGATTAAATTAGGTAACATAGAAAATGCTTGTCACGAAGTCAGTCCTCTAACTATTTTGAATCCTTGGGTGAAACTATGAATGGGATTTGGGACTCCCAGGTTCCCTCCTGAGGTTAGTGTCTCAAAAGGCTCACTTTAGCATAGAAGTTGCTTCCTATCCTCTACTTTTCAATAAATGAAGATGCCATTAGATTTCTTTTCCAAATTTTAGTTTCTGTGATTCATTTCAGGTCTCTCATGAAGAATGAGATGCTTTGCCTCAAGGAAGATACAATTTGGTGGATTTATGCACCCAAATTCTATCTGAATCCCACTAGCATGCTGCTTGATGAGCATTTTAAAGATCTTGTAGGCCGGGCACCATGGCTTATGCCTATAATCCTAGCATTCTAGCAAGCCAAGGCAGGTGGATCCCTTGAGCTCCAGACTAGCCTAGGCAACATGGCAAAATCTTGTCTCTACAAAAAATTAACCAGGCGGCTGGGTGTGGTGGCTCATGCCTATAATTCAAGCACTTTGGAGGCCAAGGCGGGCGGATCACCTGAGGTCAGGAGTTCAAGACAAGCCTGACCAACATGGTGAAACCCTGTCTTTTTTAAAAAAAAGAAAATAAAAGCCGGGCACGGTGGCTCAAGCCTGTAATCCCAGCACTTTGGGAGGCCGAGGCGGGTGGATCACGAGGTCAAGAGATCGAGACCATCCTGGTCAACATGGTGAAACCCCGTCTCTACTAAAACTACAAAAAAATTAGCTGGGCATGGTGGCGCGTGCCTGTAGTCCCAGCTACTCAGGAGGCTGAGGCAGGAGAATTGCTTGAACCCAGGAGGCGGAGGTTGCGGTGAGCCGAGATCGCGCCATTGCACTCCAGCCTGGGTAACAAGAGTGAAACTCCGTCTCCAAAAAAAAAAAAAAAAAAAAAAAGAAAAGAAAATTAACCAGGCATGGTACACCAGCCTATAGTCCCAGCTACTTGGGAGGCTGAGGCGGGAGGATTGCTTGGGCCCAGAAGGTCCAGACCGCAGTGAGCCAAGATCGTGCCTCTATTTTCCAGCCCAGGTGACAAGGCAACACCCTTGTTTCCAAAAAAAAAAAAAAAAAAAAAAAAAAAAAAAAAACTTTTTTTTTTTTTTTTTTAGTAGACAAAGGTCTATTTGTTACATATTTTCAACAGAGATGAGCCCATGAAAGCATGATAAAGGGTTATTATTTGGGATATAAGAGTATGTCCTTCTCTATGTCCAACAAACCTTGACTATGTTTTGTTTTGTGGCTATTAGAACATAGGATTTGACTGTTAGTTCAGCAGCTCATTTACAAAACAGCATGGATAGCATGGGTTACCTTCCAGTTGTGTATAAAGAAGGTAAAATGGAACCTTCTGGTTCACGTGGAGAGGCTTAACATTTCCCAGCAGTCCTCTTTAGAGAACAACATTTTACTGCAAAGGTGAGATTTTTAAAAGAGCTTCTACCATGCTTTACTTACAAACCTTGAATTGGAGGCTCCTTTTTGAAAATATCTGCCTACCTCTTGTCCTGATAAGCCTCCTGGATAAGATGGTCACATCTCTCATTTCCTTCCTGCTTGTACACAGATCCACTCTCTGTGTAACTTCCGCATCTCCTGTACCATGTAATTACTGAACTATCTTGTCTAAATAAATAAGCATTTTTTATTCTTTTATTTTTATTTTAAAAATAAGCATTTTTAACATTGTCAGCTATGTTAATGACTACTGTATCTCTTATGCTGTTTTTTTTTTTAATTTTTGAGACGGAATCTCTCTCTGTCACCCAGGCTGGAATACAGTGGTACGATCTCAGCTCACTGCAGCTTCTGCCTCCTGGGTTCAAGCTATTCTTCTGCCTCAACCTCCCGAGAAGCTGGGATTACAGGCATGTGCCACCACACCTAGTTAATGTTTTGTATTTTTAGTAGAGACCGGGTCTCACCATGTTGGCCAGCCAATCTTATGCTGTTTTAAAATAAAGACTTTTGGCCAGACACGGTGGCTCACACCTGTAATCCCAGCACTTTGGGAGGCTGAGGAGGGCGGATCACCTGAGGTCAGGAGTTTGAGACCAGCCTGGCCAACATGGTGAGACCCCCATCTCTACTAAAAATACAAAAATTAGCTGGACATGGTGGCACGTGCCTGAAATCCCAGCTACTTGGGAGGCTGAAGCAGGAGAATCACTTGAATCCAGGAGGCAGAGGTTGCAGTGACCTGAGATCATGCCACTGCACCCCAGCCTGGGCAACACAATGAGACTGTCTCTAAAAACTAAAAACTGAAAAATAAAATAAAGACCTGTGGCCAGCCACGGTGGCTCATGCCTGCAATCCCAGCACTTTGGGAGGCCAAGGCAGGTGGATCACCTGAGCCCAGGAATTTGATTCCAGCCTGGTCACATGGCAAAACCTTGCCTCTACAAAAAATACAAAAAATAGCCTGGTGTGGTGGTGTGTGCCTGTAGTTCCAGCTGTTTGAGAGGCTGAGGTGGGAAAATTGCTTGAGCCAAGGAGGCAAAGATCGCAGTGAGCCAAGACTGAGCCACTGCACTCCAGCCTGGTGACAGAGCAAGACCTTACTTTGAAAAGAAATTACTTGGCCGGGCGCAGTGGCTCAAGCCTGTAATCCCAGCACTTTGGGAGGCCGAGGCGGGTGGATCACAAGGTCAAGAGATCGAGACCATCCTGGTCAACATGGTGAAACCCCGTCTCTACTAAAAATACAAAACATTAGCTGGGCATGGTGGCGCGTGCCTGTAATCCCAGCTACTCAGGAGGCTGAGGCAGGAGAATTGCCTGAACCCAGGAGGCAGAGGTTGCGGTGAGCCGAGATCGCGCCATTGCACTCCAGCCTAGGTAACGAGTGAAAATCCGTCTCAAAAAAAAAAAAAAAAAAAAAAGAAAAGAAATTACTTGTGGCAATTTATTCTCCAGATGTATTTGCCTATGTGTCCTATGGGTCAAATAACATAAGAACATTGCAGCATTGTTAGTAATAAAGATAAGAGGCTGTTACACGGATGCCCGTCTACAGGAGTCTGGTAAAATTTCTTTATGTGCTGATATGAGGTCTCCCCGATGGAGTATTCAGTGAAAAAAGGAAGATGCAGAACATGTGGATTTTGTGCTACCATTTATTAAAAAAAGAAAAAAATCATATGTCATTGCTGGCATGCTTAGAATATCTTTGGTGGTATGCACAGGAAACTTTGTTAGGTGCCTTTAAGGAAAAGAGCCAGGCTGCTGTGGGACAGGGATAGGGGAGTGACTTCACTGTGTAGCCATCTATGCCTTTTGAATTTTAAGTCATGTGAAAATCACCTATTGAAAAAAATTTATAACAAAATGGAGTACTAGGACTAAATGGGTTGAAAAGCAGTTTATTAAAAATTAATGTTCTAACCTATTTCTCAGTCAAACTGTCCAGCTCACAATTTCCACTCTTTCATACCAAGTTGTTTTACTTTGAGCTGGAGTTCTTGGCAGAAGGAGTCGAGGGCACGGATTCCCTGTGTGTGCACACACGCTTACACGTGTACACACATACGCACACACACTCTCTCTTCGTACCTATAGGACCAGTCTTTCAGATTTCTAAATTCCCAAGGTGATTACAATCTAAGAGCCGGACCTTGGTTATGTTTTGGTTTGTGGCTGTGAGAACATACGATTTGACTGTTAATTCAGCAGCTCATTTATAAAACAGCATAGATAGCATGGGTTACCTTCTAGTTGTGTGTAAACAAGATGAAATGGAACCTCCTGAATTTCACGGGACTGCGTACCCCAGCAGAGACTGAATTTACCCTCAAGCCGCCCTGCAAGACAAGTGTGTGTAACCACCCCCAGCCATCAAGGTTTTTCTTCTGTGGCTTGAGGGAATAAATCATGCAACTGTTTTCTCATAAGATTCTGGCCTCTCTCCCTCTCAGGGCAGAGTGCCATTTGCCGTGCCTGACAAAGTGCTGTGGCCACAGCTGTGTGAGGCGCTCAACATGAAATTCAAGGCCGAAGTGCAGAGCAACCGGGGCCTGACCAAGGAGAACCTCGTGTTCCTGGCGCAGAAACTGTTCAACAACAGCAGCAGCCACCTGGAGGATTACAGCGGCCTGTCCGTGTCCTGGTCCCAGTTCAACAGGGTGAGGGGCCCGGCCACCCGCCTCTGTTAGATCAGTCCCTCCCAGCCAGACACCCTCAGGAGTCTCCCTGCCCAGGCCCTTATTCTTCCTGTCTTTAATAAAATGTACCAAAAGTAACAGAAGCTTCTGACTAGATGGGCAACTTGAGAGTTACCCAGGTCACATGTAGAAAATTACATCTTGCCGGGCGCGGTGGCTCAAGCCTGTAATCCCAGCACTTTGGGAGGCCGAGGCGGGTGGATCACGAGGTCAAGAGATCGAGACCATCCTGGTCAACATGGTGAAACCCCGTC